AAAAGTAATTTTCTCAGTTTTTCAAATTCTTGACATGTTACTCTTTGAGATTCAGAGACAATAAATCAGTATTCCCAGGAATTCTCAGAAATTTCAAAAATTATGATTATTTTAAACATAACAATCTTCACACTATTATTTTTATTGCTAAAATTATTGTTTAAAAAATAAATATACTAAGTTTAGTAGTACTTACAAAGAACTACAGTTACATAAATATTCAAACAATGAAAAATGTAACATAAAATTCAGATTTCCCAGTAAGGAGACACATGGAAACATATGTGGACAGTCCCATTCAAGGATTTACTTTGCACTGAAAATATGTTATAACTTGAAAGAGCATTCAAAAGACTTACATTAAGTATTCTATATATGCAAAATCATTAGGAAACTATAAGCAGAGACACAGTCCACAGAATGGGAGAATTACCAGCTGTAACTCAAACAGGGGCCTAATATCCAGACTTTACAAAGGACTGCAGAAAGTAAATACCAATGAAACAAAACTGCCGATCAACAAATGGGCTAATGAATTGAATAGACAATTTTAAAAGTCTTCAGGGAAATGCAAATTAAAACTGTTTTGAGATACCAGCTCACTCCAGTCAGAATGGCAATCATGAGTTTTGACAACAAATGTTAGTGTGTGGAGAGAACACTTGTTCACTGCTAGTGGGGGTGCAAATTAGTATAGCCATCGTGGAAATCAGTTTGGAGGTTCCTCAAAAAATTAAAAATAGAACTACCATATGACCCAGCTGTCCCATTTCTGAACAAATACCCAAAGGCCTCCATACCTTGCCACAGACATACTTGACATGTCCATATTCATTTCTACTCTGTTCACTATAGCAGAGAAATGGAACCAATCTAGTTGTCCATCAGTAGATGAATAGGTAATGAAAATCGGGTATATACATAATGGAATATTATTTAGCTGTAAAGAAAAATGAAATCACAGAATTTTCAGGAAAATGGATGGACTTAGAATGTATAATATTACACGAGGTCATCATAGCTCAGAAAAAAATTGTGTGTTCTCTCTTATAAGGGGATCATCGATTATAAGCTCTACATGTATATATGTAAACAAATGTGGGTATAGTATAACATTTTGAAAGGAGAACAAGAAAGGGTAATAAAAAAGACAAAAGGCACCAATGAGTTCCTGTTATCTGCATCTCATACAGAAGAAACTGACATAACAAGAGGTGACTTGCCCAAGGGTGCCTAGCTCATAAATGGTGCTGGTGTGCAGGCATTCCAGTGGCAAAGTTAATATTGTGAATTGGTGTCCTACACAAAATGGGATTTGGATATATGAAGACTAAAGATTATAAGATGCATTAGGAGAAGGTAGATAGAGAAGCCACAGTGCTCATTGAGGACTGTTTTGCTGAGGCCCTGGCATTCTACACTGAAGGAGGTAATTGGAATGTGCCAGACATTGCTAATATTTTCACAGACTTTTAAGGGACTCTTTGCCTGGGCTCATGATTTGGTGGGATGTTGTATTGGTTATTTGGTGGGCAGTGGTGAGGTTGTGACTGTTACTGAGTAGGGAATGGCATTGTTGGTGTCCTCTGTTATGTTTCAAGCTCTCCTGAGTTCTTCTGCATGCTCTGGCTCAGCCTTTGCTGCCCTCTTTTTAGTCCTTACTCTTTTTTGTTCTCTCTATGACTCAAGCTTCCTAGAGACTTGTCTACACACAGTTGCTACCCTTCTGTCTTGCTGTTTGCTCACTGTTTGCGTCTGATGTGTCCCTTATCATGCCATAAGAACTGTCCTCACGGAAATGTTGGTGCCAGGCCCACTGCTCATTCTGTGAAAACTTGTCTGCCTTATCTTACCCAGTAGTTTTGAACTAGGGGTGATTTTTACCTTCCAGAGAATATCTAGCAATGTCTACAGACATTTAGGGCATTAAAATTGAGGAAAGGAATGTTATTGACAACCATGGGTGGAAGGCAGGACTATAGCTAAATACCTTATGCAGTGCAGGATAGCTTTCGCCTTAGGAATTATAGCCTTAGCAGTGCAGAGGCTGAGACTCACTGGTCTTACCTGATACTCATGGATATAATGCAGTCCTCCATTCTCAGAAATTTCCCCTGATGTCTTGACATAATTGTTAATGTGTCTTCTAGTGAATGCTCAGTTCGTGCCTTGCCATTCTTTATGGAGGACTTTACTGGGCCATCTTTGGTGCTCGTCCTTACTGCTCAGGATTCCCTTCCCAGTGTCTTGTTCCTGCTCAGTTCTTGGATTCCTCTTACACTTCTCTGGAGTCCTAGGAGTTTAACTAGCTTCTGGGTATGTGACTTCATCTGTACTCTCAACTGAGCTTTCTAGTGCTCTGGTCATGTTCATGTCTTCCTGAATGACATAGGCACTTCTACCCTTCAAGTCCACAGTCAAGCAACTAGTCAGATCATTCTTCTCCCTGTATGTTTCTTGGACTGACAGTCATCTGGCACTGCATTTTTAGTTCAGGCATTTTTTAGTCCCGTCTGATCAGTGCACGCCCCTCCTTATCTCAAGCACCACAATGCCATCACTATGGGCAAGGGATCTGAAACAACTTTTGAATCTCAGAGTCCTCCCATAAGGTCTCATTTACAGCAGATGTGTTCTAAACTCTTGTATGCACCACATAGAACCCTTGTAATCAAGTTCCTCACAGTTCTTCATAGTTCCCACTTGGAAGTACCATTTTTCCAAAGGGGCCTTTGACAATGTTTGGGACATTGGGGTTGTCATGGAAGGTAAGCCTGAGGTTGCAACACAATAGGAGAACACCTTCCTAGCATGTACCAGGGCCTGGGATCCAGCCCCAGCTCCTGCTCCCTATCCCCCCCACATCATAGGAAGGTGAAGTGCGTTGGGGATACAGAGTAAATGCTTAGGATCCAGTGATGCTAATTTCCTGTAATGCACTGGACAGTCACTCTCCATAAAGACTTATCCAAATGCCAGTAGTGTCCTTGTTAAGAATAGCAAATTTAATTTTTAGTTTCTGCTTAGAGAAGTGAAGAGAGAAATGCTGAGCGCTGGTGGGTTCTGATTTTAGAGAACGGGAGACAAAAGAACAGCACAGTAATCCAGACTGGAGTTTAAAAGAGACTTGAAGAATTAGCCTGAAAACTGTAGACGTGCAGAGACCAAGTGGGAATGCCTATTGGTTATGTTGTTTGCTGTGCTACTCTTCTCATCTGGCTGATCATCACTTAGTCCCTGCTTGCACAGCTGGCAGTTGCTAGTTTAGGCCTTGTGACATTGTGACTCCTTCCTTGGCATGGCGAGAACTTTCTTCTGTTCCTGCCCTGCTAGGCTCTTAATCTCCCAGTTTGGCTCCATGTTTTCCCAATTTTGCCATCTCTGGCTTATACCTTTAGCCATTTCATTACGCCGTTTTATTTACAAGTAATAATGCCATAAGCTATATAGAAAGGGCTCTGTTCATTACAAGAACAGCATTTATAACTCTTATATGCTAGGTACTGTGCTGAACTCCTTGAGCACTGCTTATTCCTCACCAAAATCTATACCTAGCAACTATAACTATATATACAAATAAAAATCGTCTACTCTTGTCAGAGCAGCTATTCTTTGGAACTGAGACTTAACCCCATTCTTCCCCTCTTCCTATTAAAAAAAAAAGAAAGTATACTTTTTAAAGCAGCTTTAGGTTCTCATAACAAAATTTGAAGTATAGAGAGTGTCCATGTAGCCCCTACACCTCCTGTGCATAGAACCTTCACCCACTGTCAGGTTCTCTGGAAAAGTAAGACCAGTGAACTTAGGTTGATACACACAGTATCACTCAATTCCATGGCTAAGCTTAGGGTTCACTGCTGGTATTTACATGCTGTGGATTTTGACAAGTGTGTAATGATATATGCCACTGTTACAGTTCATGCAGAATAACTGCATTGCCCTAGAAACCTTTTCCCTCTCCCTCCCAGTGATAACCACTGATCTTTTTTAGTGGTTCCATCATAATGTTTTTGACATTAAAAAAAAAAAAAATTCTAGCTGGGCATGGTAGCCCAGCACTTTAATTCCAACACTGGACAGGAGGCAGAGGCAGGGAAATCTTTGTGAACTCATAGGGGGTTCCAGGCCAGCTGGGCCTATAGGGAGACCCTATCTAAGCAAACAGACAAATAAACACCCCCCAAACCCAAACAACAACAAAAAACAGCCATTGTAAGCCCAGATTTTAGGCTGTTGTTGAAAAGTTATAGGATTCCAGTGTAGGACAGTCTTCATACATGTGTTCACTTCTTTAAAAAATGGGTCTGCTTTGTACTGTTAGGTTTTTCTTCGTTTCTGGGAACCTGCTTAGCTGTTGGAACCCTGTGTGGGGGAAATGTGCTTAAGACAGTACAGAAATCCCTCATTGTTGCTTCCTGTCTACAAGCTTTAAGAGAATGGTTGTTTTCTTTCTCAACCAGACAGTTGAGTTATATGAGAGCCAACAGTTAGTTTGACAAGATAGCCCTGCCACCCTAGAAGAAAAGTGGAGATGAGACTGCCTACTGACTGGCCTCAGTCTGCTGTTTAGGATCATCTCAAGCCCCTGATAAAGTACTCTTGAGGGCCCTTTTGTTGGAGATGCCACCAGAACTGGTTAGTTTTAGTTCATTTTTAAAGAAACCTAGAACTGCCTGTTGTTACACCCACACCTGGAGAAGACTTTATATCATAATGCACAAGAATTGACACAAAATTGAACTATATGAAGGATCTGGACTTCTTGAAATTTACTGGTATATTTTTCAGTAGATGATGAATAACAGAAAATAAATTCCTTTGGTACAGCATCATATCAGAAGATGATGAATGTTTCTTAACCTGTCTGCTGTTTGTTCAGTGGTGGTTTAATGCTGTCATGAATGGGCCAAAGGGAACCACAGCTTTGCCTTAAGGATTGGTGTTCATTGGAGTCCTTGTATCCCATATACTGAATCTCTTCCTTTCTATTCTTCTCCCAGAAGCCCCCTGTGCCACACCCCTGATCTGCAGCTTCGGGAGGCCGGTGGACCTGGAGAAGGATGACTACCAGAAGGTGGTGTGCAACAACGAGCACTGCCCCTGCAGCACGTGGATGCACCTGCAGTGCTTCTATGAATGGGAGAGCAGCATCCTGGTGCAGTTCAACTGCATTGGCCGGGCCCGCAGCTGGAATGAGAAGCAGTGCCGCCAAAACATGTGGACCAAGAAGGGCTATGACCTGGCCTTCCGCTTTTGCTCCTGCCGCTGTGGGCAGGGCCACTTGAAGAAGGATACAGATTGGTACCAGGTGAAGCGGATGCAGGATGAGAAAAAGAAGAAGTCTGGGTCAGAGAAGAACACGGGGAGGCCTCCGGGGGATACTGGGGAGGAAGCAAAAAAGTGCAGGCCCCCCAACAAGCCCCAGAAGGGTCTGAACCATGACCTCCCCCGACGGCATTCCATGGACAGGCAGAACTCCCAGGAAAAGGCCGTCAGTGCTGCAGCCTATGGGGCCCGCTCCCCTTGTGGCTCCCCTGGCCAGTCCCCACCCAGTGGCTACTCCATCCTCTCCCCAGCCCATTTCAGTGGTCCCCGATCTTCCAGATATCTTGGGGAATTCTTGAAGAATGCCATTCATCTTGAGCCTCACAAGAAGGCCATGGCCGGGGGTCATGTGTTTAGAAATGCCCACTTTGATTACAGTTCAACTGGGTTATCTGTGCACAGGGCAGGGCACTTTGACACTCCTGTACAGTTCCTTCGGCGGCTAGACCTCTCTGAGCTCCTCACTCACATCCCCAGGCATAAGCTGAACACTTTCCACGTGCGGATGGAAGACGATGCTCAAGTGGGCCAGGGCGAGGATCTACGGAAGTTTATTCTTGCAGCCCTCAGTGCCAGCCACAGAAATGTTGTAAACTGTGCTCTATGCCACCGGACACTTCCTGTATTTGAACAGTTCCCACTGGTGGATGGAACTCTATTCTTAAGCCCCTCAAGACATGATGAGATTGAATATGATGTTCCTTGTCACCTTCAAGGTATAGGTGTTGATCCACCTTGCCTGTTTTCTGTTTGCTAGACCCCCAAAACAAACAAGATAGAATTCACTGTTTTGACTTAATTTTCACTGATGCATTTTATTGTAGTCAGGAGCTAGGTAACTGGAGTACTTCAACTTCACCCAGTTGGTGGTTAGTGGTTTTGTACTCTGTTGTTTGTGCCAGGTAGTTGGCCTGGTGGGCACTGTTGTGTTCTTGTTCTGCTCTAATTGAAAGAAAGGATTACTGGTTTTTCATAATTGGTAAGAATTTAGAGAAGGAATTGCATTATTTGTTGTGAAACACTTGCCTTTGAATCCTGTTTTAATGTGCCTAGAAAGCTGTGTATTTTCTTTGATCTTTGTATATAGGAAACACAGGAAACAAGAAGGACTGTGGTTTCAGATTAGTTGAGTTAATTTGAAATTACGAAAGATGAAATTGTTGATAGAAACCAAAGGAAAATGGGGAACAATTGAAAGCTCAGATGTGACCTTGGTGGGGGACTGTGCTGTTCAGCTTATAATGTGTAGCAAAGACTTGGACACATTTTTACCATAACCTGAATGGCAAGGAATTAGGCAATACAGGTGTGAAATCTGTTAGTTCTGATAAAAGTATTGAAACTTCCAAAGAGAAGAGATACATAATACGTAACATGTTAACAGTGTGCTACAAAATCTAGAATGATTTCTCCTGTCTTCTTCCACTGAACTCTGCTGTCTACACCCCTAGAGCCAACTGATTCTTCACATTAAAAAAAAATATTTTATATATATCTTTATGTGTATTAGTGTATTGCCTGCATGTGTGTAAGTGCACCATGTCATATAGTACCTGTGGAGGCCAGAAGAGGGTGTCAGATTCCCTGGAACTGGAGTTATAGATGGTTGTTAGCCACCATATGAGTGCTGGAACTGAACTCAGGTCCTCTGTAAGTGCAGCCAGTGCTCTTAACTCCTGAAACATCTTTCCAGTTCCCTTCTTCATGTTTTTTAACATCAGGATTTTAAAGGCAGTTGTCTTCATTCTCTAGTTGTCTTCATTCTCTAGATAATTTTTGGAAATCATCTTTTGCTTGACTTAAGGTGAATAACTACTTACCCCCTTCTTTGGGGGATAAATCCTTAATGTTTCTGCTATATGTTAATAGTGTTGAGCCAAGACACATAGTCCTATTATAGCGATAGTATCAAGGACTCCTTTTTATTAAAGTTAATTTCTTCCATTCCCATTTGCTTGGATATTTGTTTAGTTTTTGGAGACAAGGCTCTCACTGTGTAGCCCAGGCTGGCATTATTCACAGTGAAGACTGCTGCATTGGAAATTAACTGTTGACTTTAGAATCTGAAGGCACAAGCCTCCTGAGAGTAGTTTTGTTTTGTTTGTTTAACCTTGGGGAGTTTTTTCTACTCTAGCAGCTCTTTTTTTGTTTGTTTTTGGACAGGGTCTCTCTGTAGCCTTTGTAGATCACGCTGGCCTTGAAGTCAGAGATCTCCCTGGTTCCTGAGTGCTGGGATTAAGTGAGAGTGCCACTACGCCTAGTTGTAAACCACTCTTAAAATATTGAAATTTTTTTTGTTTGTCTGTTTTGTTTTTTGCAAACCTGAAGAACAACCACAACTTGTTCAAGGTCTATCAGTGGATACAAAAACACTGAAGTTTTTTTCTTCTGACACTTCCTGGGGGCTTTCATCCACCCTGGAGTGCTTGGTGCCTGCTGGACTTGGATTGTACTTCCAGGAAAGCTTTCATTATTTCCCATGGTTTAAGTTTGTTGCCTGACCCTACATTTTCTTTTTTCTTGGTTTATTCCCTGGATTTGTTAGGAGACATCCTCAGGAATTGAGATGTTAAAAGACCGAGAATGGTCTGAGAATGCTTTGATTCTGGCTTAATGCTTGTTACTTAGCTGGGTCATGTAGTCCTCTAAATTAGAAATATTTTTCCTTGAAAAATTCGAAAGCATTTCTTTACTATGCCTGTGTTATATTGCTACTGTTCAGAAGCGTGATGGTCTTTCTCCTCTCCTGCCTTCACCTTAATCTTCCCTAAAGGTTTTTAATTTTCCCCTTTTGTCTCTAGTATTTTGAAATCTCACCATGATCACACACACACACACACACACACACACACACACAGAGTCTTTCTACTGTGCATTCTCCTGGCTTTTTTGAATGGATAAGCTAACATCTTCATTTTTGAGTTTTCTTTTGCATTATTTCTTTGATAACTTCCTTCCCATTTTCACTTTAAAAATACTAGAACTCCTATTAATGAAATATTGTACCTTTGGGTTTCTCTCTCTCTCTTTCTCTCCCTCTGGTTTTTTTTTTTTTTTGAGAGGGAAAATCCTTGTTTTTATTTGTTATTTGTCTCTTTATTGTACTTTCTGGAAATGAAGGCTTTCCTTGATTTTTCTCTTTCAAGATTTTAAATTTCTAAGGGCTTTTTTAAAAAAATATTTTTATTTTATTATTTTTATTTTATGTATATGTGTGTATTGCCTGCATGTATGTGAGTGCACCCATGCTGTGCAATGCTGTGGAAGTCAGAAGAGAACTTTGGAGTCCCCTGGAACTGGAGCTAAGGATGGTTCTAAGGGCTTTTATATATTTTAGATTTATTATTTTTATGTGTGTGTGTGTATTGCCTGCATGTAGGTAAGTGCACCTGCATCATGCATTGCCGGCAGAGGACAGAAGAGGCCCTTGGATCCCCTGGAACTGGAGTTACGGACAGTTGTTAGCTGCCATGTGGGTGTTGGATTCAAACCCAGGTCTTCTGCAAGAACAACCAGTGTTCTTAGTCGCTGAGCCGTCTCTCCAGTCCCCTAAGGGCTTTTTAATAGCACCATATTCTTGTTTCTTGGATGTTTATTTGTTACCTTTCTGAGTAGGTAAAAGGAACTAAAGTTAATTGTTTTGAGTGTTTTTGCCTAACTCTCTGGAGTCTGTTAGCCTTTGTTATAAGATGGAACACTCCAAAACTTAGTGACTTTAGGAGATTCAAAAATTTCTTGAAATTCTCTGGTAGAATTGGATAGGATGGCTTCTCACATACATCAGCAGGGACAGATTGGCCTTGGTCTCAGGTGCCTTGGCTGGAATAACTTATCTGTAATCCATGTGCTCTTTAATCTTCTAGTAGGTTAGTTTGGGATTTTTAAATTATGTTTTTAATTGAAACAATTGTACATAATGTATGGGGTATAGTGTAATGTTTTGGTACATATTTCTATTGTATGATGATCAGTTACCTCATGTATTTATCATCTGTGTGAAGAACACTGAAAATCCTATTTTTAATTAATTTTATTTTTTAATTATTTATTCATTTTTATGTGTATGTGTGTTATGCCTGCATGTTTGTAAGTGTGCCCGTGTCGTGCAGTGCTCATGGAGGACAGAAGAAATCCCCCTGGAACTGGAGGTATAGATGGCTGTTAGCTGCCATATGGGTGCTGGGATTTGAACCCAGGTCTTCTGTAAGAACAGCCAGTGCTCTTAACCACCAAGCCATCTCTCCAGCCCCTTTATTTATTTTTGAGACAGAGTCTCACTGTGTAGACCTGGCTGGCCTGGAACTTGCTCTTTCGACTAGGCTGGCCTTGAACTCCTAGTGTTCCACCTGATTTTTGCCTCCCAATTCCTGGTATTAAAGACATGCACTACCACACCTGGCTCTCAAAATCCTAGTTATTTTGAAAAACACAATATAATACTGTCTACTGTAGTTACTACTGTACAATAAAACACCAGAACTTCCTCCCACAACTCTAGTTGTCTGCTCATTAACCAGTACCACCCCCACACCTTTCCAGCCTAGGTAGCCACTGCTCTACTTTTGTGGGAGCAGCAGTATTGTAAATTTCACAGCTATGTGAGATCAGTGATACAGTCTTTCTGTGAAAGCCTGGCTTATTTCACTTAATATGATGTCATCCAGGTTTATCCATGTTATGACAATAGGATTAAATCCTTTTGTGGCTGGATGGTATTCCATTGTGTGTGTGTGTGTGTGTGTGTGTGTGTGTGTGCGTGCGCATATTTTCTTTATCCATTCATCTTTTGATGGGCACACAAAGGTTGATTCCATATCTTGGTTATTGCAAGTAATGCCACAGTGAATGTAGGAGTGCAAATATCTCTTTGACATACTGATTTCATCTCCTTTCTATATAACCCAGTAGTAGGATTTCTGAATCAAATGGTAGTTTTAATTTTAAGTTTCTTACAGCACATCAAATATTTTAGTATTACTGGGCAGTAATTTTTAATGTTTTCTTTTTTTTTTTTTTTTTTTTTTTTGTGATAGGGGTTTCCCTTTTTTTTATTTTTTTTTTTTTTTTTTTTTTTTTTTTTGAGACAGGGTCTTCCCTGGAATTAGACCAGACTGGTTCCAATCTCACAGGGATCCACTTGCCTCTGCCTCCCAAATGCTGGGATTAAAGGCCTGCACCATACGTGGCTAGTAACTTAATTTTTAAGAGAATTTAATACTATTTTCTATAATAGCTGTGAATAGCTGTGGTAATTTACATCCCATCAGTAGTGGGTGAGAGTTCAACTGAAGCTTGTTCACATGGATGAAACTGAAGGACATTTGGTAAATGAAATAAATCAGACACAGAAAAATACCACATGATCTCAGTTGTACAACCTAAGAAATAAGCTTATCAGATAGAAGTACAGAATAGGATGGTGCTTATCTAATATGGGAGAAGTGGGGGAGGCAGAATAGGTCAAGATTGGCCAATGGGCATAAATTAGATAGATTAGATGGGAGAGTTGTAGGCTCCTCACTATTCCATGGAGGATACAGTTTATGTTTTTGTTTCTTATTCTTTAATTGCTGATAATTTTGAGGGAAGTAGGTAAAAACATTTTTACTTCTCCATCTTAAAATTTGAATCATGGGGCTGGAGAGATGGCTCAACATTGTTCTTGCAGAAGACCTGGGTTTGAATCCTAGCACCCACATGGCAGCTAACAACTGTCTGTAACTCCAGTACCAGGGGATCTGAAAGTCTCTTTTCTCCTCCGCGGGCATTTCACGACACAGGTACACTTACCTATATGCAGGCAATATACGCATACACATAAAAATAATAAAATATTTTTAAAAAAACGTGAATCATAGGCCAGAGAAATGGCTCAGCAGTTAAGAGCACTGAGGGGTCTTGCAGAGACCCAGAACCCACATGGCAGCTAACAGCCATCTATCACTCTAGTTCCAAGGGATCTGCAGGCATTGCATGATATAGGTGCACTTACATACATGCAGGCAAAACACATTAAAAAAGTAAATAAAAATTAAAACTTGAATCATTCTTTATGAAGATGAATGAGGGTACTTCAGATACAGTATGTATGAAAAGATTGGGTCTTTTTTTTCTATTTATAGAGTACTTTCTCGTGTGTCCATTGTTAGTATTCATTAGTCAGATTAGAGAGTGCTAGGTGATTTTATACTGGCCATCAAGTTACAATCCCAGGATATAGGATGCTTTTTATAAAATGTAGCTACCTGTACTAAGCCTAAGGCTGTAAGTAATAGCAGCACATATGAAATTAGTAAATAGAGAGGTTGTACATGCTCTATGTAATGCAATTGCACATTTCCAAGAAGCTACCTGGATTTGGTTAGGAGGCAGTGTGAAGGAATGGTCGGTAAAAGAAAATCAACAAGGTTGGATCAGGAGATAGAAAACCAACTGATTGGAGATGTTCTAGAGCGAAAAACGAGTGGGAAAGGTGGAGTGCAGATTATGGGTTTCCCTTCACCCCATAATAGAAAACTTTTCCTGTTCTTATGAATATGAGTTGAGAGATTTTGAACATTTTAAAAAATTTTTTATTTTATGTTTTTGAGTGTTTTGCCTGCATGTGTGTAAGTGCACACCGCATGGCCAGAAGAGAGTGTTGGAGCCATCTCTCCATCCTCTGAACATATTATTTTAAAAGCACACTATAACATATCCCAAAAGTTGTTTGAAAGATATGGGACCTAGAAACAAAGTTAAAACGTGTTTGGCATGTCTGTATGCATGAAGATGAGAAACGGCTGTTTGGTGACAGTGGGAATGGAAAGGAAGGGTTCTCTGCAAGAGATTCCTGTAAAAGAAAAATCACAGATTTAGAGACACATTGACTGTAGGAATGAAGAGTCTTCGTTGGCTCAGTTTCATTCCAGAACAGATGATTGGTGCTGTCACAGGCAGGAGTAGACAAGGTTGGGGAAAGGATCTGATTTCAGAGGAAAGAAGGTGAGGTAATTTGTATATGTATTGGGCTGACTTTTATGTGGAGGTATCTGGCAAGCACTGTTAGAAATAAGCATTTGGGGTGAACATGGGGAGCTTATTTTTAGCAGTACTGGTTAAATATTGGCAGTTGAAGAGTTCTTAAATGAAGAGCAAAGAGAGGAGAAAGAGTCTATGATAGAGCCTAATACTAAATCTTAAAGTCTGGGAAAGAATGAAGAAAAAGGCAAAGATTAAATAGGCCTGGATTATGTGTATATTTGCACCCACATGAATCTGTAAATCTAGGGATAAAGGCTGTGTTCAGTGTACTGAGACTAATTGCTGATTTTAGAAACTGAAGGTCAAGGCAATTAATGAATCCTAGAGACGTCATCAGTGCTACAAGTGAGGCATTGGTCAGTGTTTTTACTGCTGTATCTCAGAGAAGCTGTATTTATAGCTACCATGTTTTTAAAGCATCTTCAATTCTAGTAGGAAGGCCACATTCCAGGCCACAGGATTCCACAGTTCGCAGTTAATTGTATGTTGCTGAAATGTTTGCTGTGCTCAATGGATTGTTACGCCCTGCCCTTTACTCCTCCTGGTCCTCCCCCAACTCTGCCTTCAGCCCCTGTTCCCAAATTCAGAAAATGTTTTTATTTGGCTTTAATAGTTGATTGATCTAATTAGGAGAGTCTTATTGGATGTCTTTATCTTTGTGAATCACCTGTGATTGCTTCCTAGGAATCTGCTTACAGAATCTTTTCTCTAGTTCAGAAGTTTAAAATTCTGTGTAGTTAGGATAGTGTGGGATAGTAACAGAAAACAAATCCAGAGACTCAGTCTGGACTCAGGCTTCTCCAGTGTTGCCTGCCTGTAGGTGAAGAGTCAAGACAAACATGACTTGATTCTGGTTTTGGCTACTTACTTCTTTGTAAACTTGGGTATGCTGCCTCAGACATTTTAAGCTTCTGTTCCTTTTGTTTGAAAAGGGAATAATAGTCATGACTCCTTTCTAGTGTTGCAGTAAGAGTTAAATGAAATGATCCATGGAGTGCATGCAGGAATGTTGCTTGTCTTCATCATCACAGTCTTTGTTACCTGCCTTCCCCATCTGCCCTTAACCCACTAGCAATATTGGTACAACACTGAATTTTGAGCCTTTCACTGAGTAGGACTGAGGGGGATGAAGTGCTCCAGTGTGGCTCCTGGTTGATCGAATTGACTTCTAGCCTTGCCCTCAGGCCCTCAGAGTGGGTATGGTCTGTGTGACTTTGTGAGACACCTCAGTGTCTTAGAACAGAGGTGATGGAAGCTCTTGGCACTCCTCCTGGTTTGGGCATAGACTCTCTTCCCTTCAAGGTTATAGTGTCTTTGGCTACTACTGTGCTGCATCCATCCACTCAGCACACACTTGAATGGAGTGTTTTCAGACTTTGTGCTGGACACTGTTAGCAAGAATGAGTGAGACATGGTTCCTGCCTCAAGGAGGAAGAGGATCATGTAAGCAAATACAATAAAAAGGTTCCTTCCAAGGATCACTGTGTGCCTTTGCAGTAGAAAAGGAAGAGGGTTGATTCTTGTCAGTGAATGGTGAAAAATCTTAGTCTGACTTTTGGCAGTGAGCAGCAGCATATTCAGAATAAGAAGCTACTTTAGAATGTTCTAGAGACATTTTAACAGTGGGGCTCCCTGTTCTCAGCAGTGTTGCTGTTACACATTGCCCAAGCAGATCCTGGACATGCTAGTCCTAATTATTTGAGCCCTTTCATATAACTGGGGTGACCTCTTTCCTTTATAGGGATTATGTCATTGACAAGCAATTAAGGGATGACATTGTGACTTTAAACAGCCAAGAAAATGGGATGTTGAACTTTTTTTAAATTAAAATTTTTTTTTTTGTCTTTGAGACAGGGTCTCCATGTAGCCCCAACTGGCCTGGAACTTACTATGTAGACCAGGCTGGTCTTGAACTCACAGAGATCCGCCCAAGTGCTGGGACTACAGGTGTGCGCCACCACGCCCGGCTAGGATTTTGAACTTTTAACATATCACCAGTAATATACAATTCTGGCTCCTAAATTAGCTGAGCAATTTTGGGAATGAGGACAGTTAACATAGTAATTGTGGCAGGGGTAAAATTCTGGACTGCCAATACCAATACAGGCATTTTGAGATGAAATTTGTTGTGGGTTACAGCTTATGACAAGACCAGACCAGCATTGTTTGTTTATTGTATGCCACACATTGACTCTGGTGATTACCAGCTGCATATATGGAGAGACTTTGTAAACTTGGCAGCACATTTTGGAAAAGTAAATTGAAGGGAGTCTATTTGAACTAACTTGTCCTGTTTAATAATCATTCACCATTACCCTAACAGTACAGCTTTAGAATATCTATTTTGCTTTTTTTTTTGGGTTGTTTTGAGACAGGGTCTCCCTGTAGCCCCAGCTGGCCTGGAACTTACTATGTAGACTAGGCTAGCCTTGAACTCACAGATATCTGCCTGCCTCTGCCTCTGCCTCTGCTGGGATTACAGGCATGTGCCACCACACACTGCCTTATCTATCTTGCTTTTTATATTATCCAGATAATAAAGTGTTTGCTTTTTGTTGGTGATGATATTCTTTTTATTGCCTTTGAAGATAAAGGTACTCTCCACAATAGCTGCCCTCAGCCTTGTGTCTTGTGTGCCCAGGGAGACTCATGCATCTGTATGCGGTGTGTGTGGACTGCCTGGAAGGGGTTCACAAGATCATCTGCATCAAGTGCAAGTCACGGTGGGATGGCAGCTGGCACCAGCTGGGCACCATGTACACCTACGACATCCTGGCTGCCTCTCCCTGTTGTCAGGTTGGTATCAACTGCAGTGGGTGGCATTGGGCTTCTGTTACCTAGTGAATGTAGAGTTTAAGGCTATATTGTGGTTACTGAGAGGGAGGTCTGAGGGCCTGGGGAAGGAGCTCTGAGGGTAAAGAAAAAATTCAGGTAGCTGAGTTGTTATATTGCAGTGGAATACTGCATAGTCAAAGGGCTATTATAGAATAGACTTCTGTATTTTCCATTTGTTAAGTAAAAAGTGTCATAAATTGCACCATACCTTGCTTCCATTTGCGAAGCTGAAAAGTGCTCTACTGACCTCTGCACCAGTCAGATGGCCTGGGGGTTGGGATGTGGTGAGCCATTTGTTTAGTTTTCTTTTTGCTGGCTTTTATTCTCTATTTTGTATGACTAACTCATACTAAATTTGTACCCCAAAGTTAATAATTTAAACAGAACAAGGACGTTTTACTTTCTATAATAGAAGAGATTTTCTTCTTGTTTCCTTTCTGTGAGATATTGGCAGATATATAGGAATTGACCGTCTCTCAAGGTATGTGAGGTCTACAAGAAAGAACTGTGATTTTCAAAGTGCTATCTTCTCTGTTCTGAGAACATCTGAAGTTTAGCATCATCAGGAAAAGAGGGAAATACTGACATGAAACCCGTTACATAAAATCATAGAAATTCAGAAGGTAAAAATCCTTAGAAATATCTTAGTTTATTGTTTCTAAGTACTTACAAGAAGAAAAGAACTTGTTTATATAATTCCTTGATGTTCTTGGGTAGCAGAGAAATTTTCTGTTGCTTTTCACTGTGTAAGCCTGTATTTGTTAACAAATAACCAATGTAACACTTTTAGTTACAACAGGATTTTGTATCTTTAGTATTGTAGTTTGATTTTATTAAAGAGAATGTTCTTACTAGTATCAGTTCTCTAGGAAGATGCCCTGTGTCTGTTGAGTTCAAAGGCTGGCAGAGGCAGTAGTTCAGCTCTCTTTTTGCCCATCTGTAATGTTTTCCAGAAGAGAAATCTGTTCATAAGAGACATAGACAGCCTCCTTTTTCAAACCTTTGGTTTCAGGTAGAGTTGACTAGTTTTCTGCCCTTGTGGTACACCGATCACATTTCCAGTTTTAGGTTTCACCTTGGAAGTGAGTTTACATCTTCTAGTTACTCGCCCCCATATTTTATGATTACTGCTGTGCCTTAGTGTCAGTTCTAAGATGAGAGAAACCAAAGGAAGTGACTCCTTTCCTTGCACATATAACAGAGTTATCTATTTTTTTAAAAACCGTGTTTGTTTGTTTGTGTGTTTGTTTGTTTGTTTGTTTGTTTGGTCTTTTTGAGACAGGGTCTCCCTGAAGCCCCAGCTGGCCTGGAATTCACTATGTAGACCAGGCTGGCCTTGAACTCAGAGATCCGCCTGCCTCTCCCTCCTGAGTGCTGGGATTATAGGTGTGCCCCACCACGCCCAGCACCATTAAAATTTACTTATTTTTATTTCATGTATATGAGTGTTTTGCCTGCATGTATGTAAGTGCTCTGTGCATACAATGCCTTTGGAGGCCAGAAGACGGTGTTAGATCCCTTGGAGCCGGAATTATGGATGGTTGTTAGCTGCTACTTGGTTTCTTTGCTAGAGAAGCCAGTGTTCTTAACTGCTGAGCCATCTCTCCACCTTGAATAGTTATCCTTTTAATGAAAGAAATAAGTGAACAAAAATTGGGGCCTGTTAAAACCCACAGAATGTTAGCATTGCAAAAGACTTTGCAGAGCCCACTCAGCCTCTTGATCTTCTGCTTCTAATGGGATGTCTAAAATTTTTTAATATTTCACCCAAGTCTATACTGACTGTGTCATAGTTGTAACAAAAACCTGTGATTCCTATTCTGGTGGTCTTTTACTACATATTGAAAGGCTGTGGGATTTCTCTACCTTCAGAAAGAAAACAGTGAATGGCATCCTGCCACACCAGCCCTTCTTACTGTATATTTATTCCCTAAGTCAAGTCCTGTATTTTCTGGCCCTCATATGAAATGGAAAACCTGTTGATTACTGTTTATTAGTTATTATTAATCAATTGAAAGTGTTCACTGTAAGGATACAGATGTTAGACACTACTAAAGCACCTAGGGCAGTCTTTCAGTAAATATGAGCCCCCACATACTCCGTAATTAGTTATCAGAAAGGAATAGCAGGTTAGAGAGAGTTTGCTCAAGCCTCTTAATGTTCAGAGGGAATAAAGTAATTAAAAGGGAGTTCATTTTAGGTTACAGAGAGGTAGCTTTTCTACTTTCTGTGTTCTTGGATATGGTATTTATCACTGCATGATTTTGTCATCTGAAATTCAGATTATACTCCCTCATGGGAACACTTTGAGGACAAATTTGTTAGCATATTTTTAGGAGAATCTAAATTGAGACTGTTCGATCTGTAATTTCTATTCACTTCAGTCCTGGATCTATTGCTAAAAGGCTCCAGAATCATACTGTTAGGGAGAGGCCCAGGCATGGATGAAGACAGTGCTCCTGAGTTCCAAGAGCCTTAGGATAAACACAGCACTTTTGCCAATTTTATTTGACTATTTTAGAGAAATTTTATTTTTACATTAAAGAAAGCACAGTATCATATGGCGTCAATGAAAATGTATATGAACTTTTCATAAACCCAAACTCTTCAAGGAAGTTTCTTCCATGTAGATTTGGGTGGTAGAAGCCAGTTTTAGTCACTTGCTTAAAATCTAGGACAGAGTGTAGTGGTTTGTTACTAGGGTAACTCTGATGGAAAGGTTTAGGCAGTACATTAGAATTTTCTTCCCATTGGTAGGTGCCTCATATTAAGGAAACTTGGGAGTCCATAATCTTTAGACAGATGATTGGGAATATCTGTATGTATCCTAGGCTGTGCATACTCTATTTCTGCTAATATTGGAGCTGCTTCACTGAATCTCGGTTAGTTTCCCAGTATTTTGGCTTGCATGCCTTTTGACAAGTGTTATAAAGCCAGTGGCATTGAGGCTCATGGTGTCTGTTTCCCCAGGCCCGTCTGAACTGCAAGCACTGTGGCAAGCCGGTGATTGACGTACGGATTGGAATGCAGTACTTCTCCGAGTACAGCAACGTCCAGCAGTGTCCACACTGTGGGAACCTGGACTACCATTTTGTGAAGCCATTCTCCTCCTTCAAAGTTCTTGAAGCTTATTGATGAAAGCTTTGCTTTAGTAATAGCTATTTTATTGATACTGTTACTTTATTACATATCTTTTATAGGGAAACATTCTGTGACATTAATTTCTTTTCTAATTTAAAGCAGAGTTTTACTTTGTATATTTGTGCCACTAAAATGAGGGCTTCTCCTTGCCCTGTCTTGATTCCCAAATGTCAGTCTGTGGTCAGGACTGGAGCCCAGATGGGAAATCATGTGGATTCAGGGAGGGTTTCACTCTGTTGCAGTTCTAAGATAGTGGAAAGGATAGGTGGACTTTAGGTGAGGAATTCTGTGGCTATAAACTTAAAGGTGTGGTAGGTATTGGGAGGAGGGAGCTCCCACTAAAATGTTAACTTTCTTGAGACCCACTTTTAGATTTTCTGTGGGCCTTGAGAAAAATAAGTGACAAGTGAATGTAAGTCTGAGCCTGGAGAGCCAATAGCATAGGCCATCTGGGCTCAGTGTTCTGCAGCACAGGTTGAGGTGCAATTTACTCCCACTGACAAATAAATGGTTTGAGAGTGGACATGGATGCTCTTTCTTTGCTATTGTAATTTAACAGTCAATTTTCATACTGTTAATAATATCCAAATTATAAGACACATGAAAGCTATTGATGCAAATGTTTTTAGGTAAGCTGCATATTAATAGTATGTGAAATGAATTTGGAAATGTTCACTGAATCAAGAGGGCAGAGAGGCATAACTGCTATATGAATTGTGTCTCTAGAGTTGGTCAAATAGCTCTGTGGAGAATCCATGCATACTATGATTTGGGCAAGGATCATTTATACAGATTGCACTTTTGGAAGTGCCACTTGGTCAGTCCTTCTCACAGGTAAATCTCACAGCTACAGAGCCTAACTGGTGAGCTTCAGAACCAGTCAGGCCACACTCACCTTCTCCATTACATCTTATTACTGCATTAACTCATGTGATACCGAGTTTCCAAAATCCAAGAGTTGACCTGAAGAGAGGAGGGAAAATTTGTTAGTGATCAAGAAGAGTTTTAATTTTTTTTCCAAGTATTTTGTTTTGGAAGCAGTAATACAGGCAGAAATTTGAAAAATAGATATCCTAAAGATCCCCATGATACCTTACTGTTGTTGAAATGATCACATAAAGAATTTGACTAGTCAGAGCATTATGTAGTTGAAAACCAGCCTGTGTTCACTAGAACTTGGACACTTCATTATGCTGATGACAGACCCTTGTAGAATTAGAGTATGATTTTTCATGGATGAATTTGATAATTTTAAGTATGATATAGATATGTACTAAAATAATACTAAAAATAATTTGAGGTTGATGTGAATATTTTATGTTACTTACTTGGTTTATGCCATTTTTTTCCCCTCAAGGTGGTTTTTCCTTTTATGGTCATCTAAGCATTATTGCAAATGAGTTTAAGTTCTACTATAAGAAATACTTGATTTTTTTTTTTAAACCAATGGCATTAAAGAACCAATGTACCAACTAATATTTTTCATCTTTCAGTTTAGATTATTATTAATTGATTTGCTGCTTCTGTTTGGTGTTTGATGATCTGAAAAATATTTCACAGCAGGAGAAAATACTCAAATTGCCTAGGAGAAAAATCATTATTGGTCAGACAGTGTTTAGTGCAACTACAACAGCTCTATAGGATAGAGCACTTGCAGGATTTTCTTTGATGCACAAAGCTGTAATTGTGAATTAGTTATTTCCCCATAAGTCTATTATGTACTGATGTTTACAATCCTTTCAGATTTCAGATATGCCTTGGCGTTTGGTTCCTATTTTTAAAATAATAAATATTTGTAATGCTGTTCTTTAACTCACCTATATTTTTCTAGTGAAACCTTTTTATTACATTGTTCTGAAGTCAAGCTGATCATTCCATGCAGTGAGTTCTTAGAAACCACTGTGGGATAGTAGGCCACATTCCATATTCTTAGATGATTTTCTACCCTTGAATATAAGCATGAAGAGGTTTCACTCTAATTGGGTGCTTCTCTATTCTTTGATGATAAGGTGCGGACTCTGTAGATGTATGCAGTCCTATAAGGGAAAAGAGAAGCACAGCACCATCTCTGTCTTTTGCCTTTGGGGCATTACGTTTTTGTCTAAAGGGGAAATTGGTCTGATTTAAGAATAAAATGCAATTGAGTATACAATACTATAAAAGTAAATTTTATTTTAGAAATCTGCTGACCTTAATGTTTTCTTTAAACTTGCCCAGAGCTCCTTGATTGGAATTGGAATATGTCAAGAAAGATTACTATTTTTGTTACAGTTAGGATACTAAAGGGTATCAGTTTCCAGGAGATCTAATTACTGTTTTTATTGATGAATACTATTCAATAACATGAAGCAGTTCTTAAGAGTGACTAATAATTTTAAAGTGATTTTATCTACTCTAACAATTTTTTAGTCATTTATTTTTAAAGAGTCCTGTACTTTGAGTGGGTAAAACTCCATGTGCTTCAGTTTTGAGAGAAGCCAGTTTCTGGTCGTTTTCTCTTCAGGGCATCTCAACTCTGCTTTCATCAGGCCACATGGGAAGCAGTTAATGCAGGGTTTCTGTCTTTGAAGGTAGACTTTATGCCATGAAATGGAATGATGGGTGACCTGTCTATTTTAAGGACAAAGGAGCTTCTCCAACAGCCTTTAAGTTTTGTAAAAGAAGTTCAGTTTTCTGAGTAAAAGGAATTTTCATTTGTTTTTGGAGAAAATTTATTCATGAAGAAAGAATATGTATTTAAATGTTAAAACTAACAGACTGATCTATTGGACTACCAAAATCAACCTGCTAAAATCTTCCATGTAGTCTTATAAGACCAGTGCTTCTGTGTGGTCTGCTCTGTGCCTGTTCTAACACCCATTTGCTTTTCTGTTTAGGTTCCTTGAAGCAGCTGTTGAGTTATTTTAGTGGGAGGTTGGGGAAGAGGTGAGGAAAAAGCACTTTTATGTAGTGTTTGGTTCCTATTACAGGTAGATACTGCCTGAACCAGTTCATCTCCATGTCCTGTTGATTTTATTATACTTACAGGTAATTGGAAGAAAATATAATGGATGGGCTCCATTAAAACCAGCTCAGAAATACGTTGTTGTTTGTAAAGATTTCTTGTCAAGATATCTTGGATTGCACTTTTGTTGAGGGAAGACAGTGTAAATAGTTGAAGAATGTTGATACATAAGTTGAAGCCTTTGGTTATGGAATCGTGTGGTGTTAGAGGGTTTCTGTTTGTGAAATGTGTGTATTAAAATAATAAAATTTTAGAAACAAATACTGTGCTTTAATGTATTAATAGATTTTTGCTGGGACTTTTGGGAAATGGGGTTGTTTGGTAAGTAAAGATAGTACAGAGGTAGGGATATTCTGAGGTTCAAAATAATATCCAGGAAACAATTCCAAAGTTACTACTGTAACTAATCAAAACTTCAAATTCAGGATCAGTGAAGTGGCTCAGGAGGTAAAGGCACTTGCCAACTTGATAACCTGAGTCCTATATCCAGAGCCCCCATGGAGTAAAGAGAGAACCAATTCTCAAAATCTATCCTCTGACCAGAATATGCATGTACTCACAAAAGATGGATAAATGTAAACAAACAAACCCCAAACAACTACAAATTCTTTGCAGCTTGTGAATTCATCTCACAAACTTCCTTTGCAACAAAATTAAGTCATCTATATAGCAAATTTATCTTCACTTTGTTCCATATGGATAATTCAGAATTAGTGCTCTGGTTATAGAGAATTCTGTTGTGTAGAGAGTTAAAGAAAAATAAAAATGGAGGCCATGGTTTTGATATACCCCCTGGCCAATCACCCATAGACATGTAGTCAAAACTAAGTCATCTCTGTTTACCCCAAATACTAGCTGTAATCACAAAACAAGCTTTATGCCCTTGTCAGCGTGATTCAGTGAAATTAAACCAGCTACAGACAAACTCATCTTGCTCCATGTTAGAAAGAATGTTAATATATAACAGCCAGTTATATAAGAAAATCCTTATGCTTTGTAAAGGCTGCTGTGAGCAGTCTCCTTACACTTCCCCTTTGAGGCCTCCTGGACTTTGGACATTGTGATGTAACTTATGTGTGCAAAGTTCCTACAATGTTAAGGAAAGCACAATTCCTACTATAGTGGGGGGCCGGGGTCACCCAGTGATCAGAATGGAGTTTATTGGAGCACTAATTTGGTCTTAGTGGTCTCCAGTTTAAAACCTTGCTTATTGTTTTGACTTAAGTTTGGCAAATTATATAAGTAATTAGATTGCTAATTATATGGGTGGTTTAGTAAAGAGTTAAATTTTGGAAAAAGCTAGTCTTGTGCGTTCTTTTCTTGTTCTCTCAGCTCTCCATGCTGGGGGAGGTGATTGGCTAATGAGTATAAAATAGCCTTGAAGACGATAAATGCTATAGAGAGGTAGTGTTTGAAGTCATGTATTTGAGTGTATACCTTTCTAATGGAAATCTAGAATTGTACAGGCTTGAGCTGGCATTGCTAAGCCATGGGAATGACAAAAATAAAGGACTTTGTTTCATTGGAGCTCAGAGGAAAACTGGTCACACTAACCACTGTTCAGAGGGAATTGAGTGCCATTGCCTCATTTCTTTCTTTTTCTTCATATTTTACTTATCTTTATTGCTTTGTTAAATTTGACTCAAGAATTTCATACAGTGTTTTATTCTGACCCCCCTCCCCCATCTCTGCCCTTACCTTTCCATCCTCCACCCCAACTTCATGACCTCTGTTAGCATATGAAAAACCCCATCCATCTTATGCAACACATCTGAACTGAGTGCCAAAGGAGTATCTCATTAGAATGCCAGTGATCTATGGTTCTTGTGCACAGATGGGCCAGAGTAAGGGCTCATTACCTTTCCTTCGTATGTGGTTTGAGGTCTAAATATACCCAGGTTTTTGGAATGGGGCTTTCACATTTGTTGTTTTCTCTTACACACTGCTTAGATTTGTCAAGTAGGAATTTTTGTTTTCATCAGCAATCAGAAACACTTAGGATTGATTCATCATCTAAGTTCATTATCTGCAGCCTGAGTACATGCAGGTTACACTTTGTTTCAGGGCCTCACCCGGCGCACTCAACTCACTGGTTAGGCTGAGGACCATTGTGGTCCAACCTGTTCTCCAACAGGTCGAGTCCCCAAAGGGATTTACTCTGTATAAAAGCAGAAGCCAGGTCCTCACAGCAGACAGCAGTTAGCTCACAGGCCTCCAATCTAAGATTCTCTGTGTGGCAGTTGGGATGTTGCACAGCTTCATGTGAGAGCTTTACACCAGTGTCCTTCAGCTTATTTTCTGTAATCTGTAGATGTCTCAGGTTCCTATTGCTTTTACAGACTGCAGCCAGGTCTTAAGAGCCAGTGGATGATGCTGCTGGCCGGGCAACCATTAGTATGCTGTGAGGTGGCCCTTGCAGGCCCAGCATCTGGCAAGACAGGTATACTGGGGTGCAGCACAGTGGGATGGTTGCAAGCCCCTCCTGGTTTCCCGTCTCCTAGCCCCACTGCCCAAGCCCAGCGACCAGGGTGGCCTGTGTCCTGGTGCTCTAGGTTCCATCCTGCACATGGGTGGCTCCCAGATTTTTTTCTTACTTGCCCAGTCCTGAGTTCAGAGGTTTTTAGATCAATATAGAAGCACCTATGGTCAGGGAAACATTGATTTTGCACGATAAGGTTCCTTACATGATCCAGTACAGGCACTGAGTCTCTTGGGAGCCAGTATGCCCAGAGCACTGAGTCTCTAACTCGAGATTTTATTCACAGGGATGGATGCTCCGTGCTGGTATTAAGGAATAAATGCTATGCAGATCAAAGGACGTTTCTCTGCAGGAGCTCAGAAAAAATTAGTAACAATTTTTTCCTGTGACCTCTTGTAAGGTACAGAGCAAATGTTCATATAACAGTGTAAATAAGGCATAGTTTTAAATCTAGTCATAAAAATAAGGGATGCTGCACTTTAGAACCTGCTTCTTCATACATGCCTATCTGGCTCTGCCATCGTAGGCAGTCTTGGCTACTGGTGACTTTGCATGTAGTCAAGCATACTTTCTGCAAAGTTCAAACAGGGAAGTTGTCTCCATCTGGGCACTAGATGAATGACATATTTGTTATAATGGAAGAAAGTGTCAATTACAGGCATGTATACTCAGCATATATGTAAATAGAAAGGTACTGGTGTAATTTGTACAAAATATGGGTGAGGTGGATATAATATAAAAACAGAAGTGTGCAGATGCTCTGTGGAGCACCGAGTCTCCGGAAGTGAGTGAGGAACCTCATGGACCTGTAACTTACGGTACATTTACATGTACCAGTGGATAGGCACTTTTCAGTTGAGAGGTAAGTTGGGTTTTGTTAAGGAAGTAGATTGAAAAGATTAACAGCCCATGCACTGGTGCTAAAATATACAATTCTGAGAGGCCTACCCAGGCTTTGCGTAAGGATGATGAGCCCTGTTTTGGTTTGTTTGTGTTTCTATAACTGAAGGTCTTGACTGGGTAATTTGTAGTGTTGACGCAAAAGCATAACTCACCTCAAAGAGGTAAGAGTTTATTCTGGATCCAGATATGAGTGACCATGGCCTGGGAACACAGATTCAGATTACCCCAAATTCCATGTTCCAGGGTAGTAATGGTTATGTTTTTATGGTAACAGAACAAAGAAAAGTCATAAATCAAGACACTTTTCAAATATATTGGTGGATACAGTCAGTGGGCAGGTCACAGCAAAGTGTGTGTGGGTTTCTACTGTAGATCTCAGATGCTATCTGATGACATTCTTAGCTTTTTGATTGGTGAGACCTGGTGGTCTGCTAAGTGAATATATTTTTTTAGTCACAAGAACGTTAATTCAGAAACAGGTAGGCAAAGTGTGGCTATTTATGGCATTAAAGATGTCCCCAGATGGTTTGTGAATAGGCTCTGGATCTGCAACATTCCAGACTCTCCACAGTCTCTGGATTGCTAATCAGTTGATCAGTCTTTCAGGAAATTCAGTCCAAGATGCAGGAGTTCTTTCTGGGAACTTTCTTTCATAGTAGACGAGGAATTTCACGAATTTGAAGGCATCTGAGATCAAGATACTGTTACTTGATGAGGGCCTTCTTGCTGTGTTGCATCCTCATATAGCAAAGTGCAGAAGAATGTAAACCTGCTCTGGAATGTCAATCCCTTATGTCTTTGCAGTAGGACCACTTCTCCCCTTAAGTCCCACCTTCTAGCAGTGTAGCACTGAGGAGAAGCTTCCAACAGGATAATTGGGGAGATGCATTCAGATGCAGTAGCTACATTTGCAAACATCCTCTTTTTAGAAAAAAAGCAGTGATACTTTCTAAAGGGAAAAAGATGCTTGGACTAATTGTCTTTTACTTAACTTGCATTAATTTGTTGACCTCTCTTCCCATTTGTTAAGATAGTTTATTGCTTGAGAACACTCTAAATATGACATTTTAACATTCTACACAAAATTTTATCATTTTATTCACTTTGAGATAGCTGAGATATTTTTAGTTTCATGTCAAGCGGTAGGGTTTGATTCCATTGATATATCCAATTTGGACAGGGTTTTGCCTTTTGATTAACTTTTCAAACAGTTTTTATAGAAAAGTTTCAGTTTCTTGTGATCTTTTTTAAAATGTTGGTATTCCAGTTTGAGGGTTACTGTGTTTGAATGTCACACAGCCTTAGGAGAAAAAAACGGCTGGTTGCACTTTTCTCTTAGTTAACATTTCTCATGCTTTAGGGGCTGTATTAGTAACTTTTCTGTTGCTGTGATAAAACACCATGACAAAAATCAACTTAAGAAAGAAACTCGCATCCAGTCCTAGTGCTCTAGTCTTTAATGGTGGGGAAAGCCTGGCATGGCAGGAAGAGCAGGAAGCTGGTGTGTTACATTTTATCCTCACTCAGGAAGCAGAGAGAGCCAACAGAAGTGGGGTGAGGCTATAAACTCTCAAAGCCTGCCTCCAATAAGGCTGCACCTCCAAAAGTTTGTATATCCACACAGTGGTGGTGATTGTGGACCAAGTGTTCAAATGCATCCATGAAAGACATTTCTCTTTCAAACCACCACAAACGCTCTCTTACCTTAGGTAATTATCGATAGTGCAAGTAACTGCAAAAACGTGGGTTGCCAATCAGTATTACACATTTCCTTCATCACATTACCTAGTCCCATTGTTTTGAAGCTCTGATACAGCAGGTCGAGGGAAGTAAGGGCAGATGAAGCTTAGAGACGAGTGTTTCTTTGCCTCAAAACCCC